TGATCCTCTACTCTGTGCTGGTGACTTCAGTGATTGATTTTGCTAAACTCAGATGAAGTAGAAGGATGTTCAGGTTCAGGCCTTCACGTGAAATGAAAGCAGATGGGCCAAGCTGAGGTAACAAAACCATTTGCAAAGGGAGGAACCTTGACTCCTGGCTTCTCACAGGCTTATGTTTAGTCCCTCAAGAGGTTCCATTCTGCTTCTTGCCTTCAGAAAAAGAGAGACACTATCGTATCTGTTTGATAAATACTTCTCTTTGTTTGTTCAGGGCAATTTAGGTGGGTTTGCAAATAGTCTTTAAGACAAGAGGCCAATGCTTTTATGCTTTGATTGGATTTGGAAGAGACCAAAGACTGTGTGGGGCTTGGAGTTCTCCTGTGAGGGTTCCTCCTTTAGTGTGAGAAGATGAAGATCTTGCTGAAATGAAATATCATCGTAAAAGGATTAAGGGCTTAATCGGCTCATAGCATTCTGTGCTGTCAAATAGAAGTGCATGGGAGTCACCTATGTAATTTAAAACTTTTGTGGTAGCCAGCCACACTGAAAAACGTCAAAAGAGACCAGTGAAGTTAGTCCTAACATATTTTATTTAATACACGATATCAAAATGTTATTGTTTGAATATGTAATCAATAGAAATAATTATGAATAAAATATTTTACATTCTTTGGGGGATACTAAGTCTTTGCAATCTGGTGTGTATTTGAGACTTACAGACATCTCAATTCTGACCGGCTGCATTTCAAGTTCTCAGGGAGGGAGATGGATAAGGTGAAAAGGGTGTTGGAAATGGCTTTTGAATAGCCAACCACAGTGAATGCCTTGTGTCCCAAGCTAAGGCATCCCAAGGAGGAGCAGTAGATTATGAGCCAGGAGCCACCAGCGTGGTATGTAACTTTGACTTTGACCTTGTCCCTGTCACCGGCCTCTCTGAACTTACAACCTTCTTTCTAGGGTGAGGGGTTGGATGCATTAGAATGTCTCTTTCTGCTCAAACACCTCTGATTTTATTTAAACTCCCCGAGGGCATTGGATGAGCTGTCCAGTGTAATGCAATTAATTTAGTGTGATCCATTGGATACAACCAGCTGTGGCGCCTCTCCTTCCTATGGTCAGGGGACATTTGTTGGCCGGATAAACTGTCATGCTCACAGATTTTGATGGAAGTTTAATTATACCAATAACCTGATGTCCTTGGTCTTGGGGTGTCTGTTCCCAGTGGGAATGTCAGACGCTGTGTATGTGCTTAGCCAAAGGGACTCCTCTTGGCGTTGACTGACCTCTGCCCTGCTCAGGTCCAGTCAACCCCAGGCAGAACTGTGGAGGAGATGAGGTTGGCCCCTGAGGTCCCTCCACATCGTCCCCTCCCACCTGGCATTCATTACTCTCCCATGTTTAGGTTCATCCAACTATGGCCCATGTGGCCTTTGTCTAAAGCACTGGTTCTCAACCTTCTGGCCCTTTAAATACAGTGCCTCATGTTGTGACCCAACCATAAAATTATTTTCGTTGCTACTTCATAACTGTAATGTTGCTACTGTTATGAATTGTCATATAAATATCTGATATGCAGGATGGTCTTAGGCGACCCCTGTGAAAGGGTAGTTCGACCACCAAAGGGGTCGTGACCCACAGGTTGAGAACCGCTGGTCTAAAGCCTTATGAGAGCCCTTCACCTCAAGGAACAACTCAGCTTCCTCCCTTTTCTCAAAGTGCTGCTCACAGGGGGCTGTGGTGATGAGCTCCCTATGCCAAGTGTTCATGAATGCTGGGGGATAAAGCTGCCCCACAACCAGGTCAGGTGTGGGTGCTCAGCATGGGCTGCTGCCGGCCAGGCAGCCAGAAGAAGGCAGCTTCTCAGAGTCCATTCAAGCGAGATGCACACAAAGGGGAGTTATATCAAGGTCATGGGATGTCTATCTATCTATCTATCTATCGAGGGATTTATTTTATTTTAATTTTATTTTTTGTTAATCCTCACCCAAGTATATTTTTTCCATTGATTTTTTTTAAAGAGAGTGGAAGGGGTGGGGGGTCGGAGAGAAGCATTGATGTGAGAGACACATCAATTGATTGCCTCCTACATGCGCCCCTAATTGGGGCTGGGGATCAAACCTGCAACCCAGATACATGCCCTTGACCAGGAATCAAACCCATGACCCTTCGGTGTGCGGGCCGATGTTTCAACCATTGAGCAGCACCAGCCAGGGTGAGAGAGATTTATTTTAAGGAAATGGCTCACACAGTTATGGAGGCTGGTAAACTTGAAATCTGTAGAATAGGAGAGAAGAGCTGATGTTGCAGTTGAAGTCCAAAGGTCATCTGCTGGCAGAATTCCTTCTTGCTCAGGGGAGGTCAGTCTTTTGTTCTATTCAGGACTTCACCTGATGGGATGAGGCCCGCCCATATTATGGAAGGCAATCTGCTTTCAATGCTAAGCTCATCCAAAGACAGTCTCACAGAAACATCCACAATAACATTTGATTAAATATCCAGGCACCATGGCCCAATCAAGTTGGCACATAAAATTAACCATCACACCTTCTAATCATAACTGGTTGGAGCCCATAAGTGAGGATCTGATATCTTCCTTCCTTCTCACCTCCAGGGCCCCCAGAGAACCATCTTCCGAGGGTGGGGCAGGGCATGGCTCAGCCTGAGGTTGACACCCTCAGGTCTCAGTCATGCCTCTTGGTTCGCATGACCATCCCTCCGCGGGCTGCACCACCTGAGAGCTCCCTCGGCCACAGAACTCTGAAGCCCTCAGCTTGGCGTTGCGGACAGCGTGGAGGTAGGTGGAAATGAAGCTTCCTAAAGCAATCCATCATGCCTGTGCCACTATGGCCCCAGTGGTATAACCATGACAGAATGAGCAGGGAGCTAGCTTGCAAATCTATTGACAAGCTTGGCTTCCATGGGCAACCATGATTCAATAAGAAAAGGCATCTCAGGTGTTAGATTGCCTAACACCTGCTTCAGCATGCGTGTTGTTGTTACTATTATTATTATATTTTTTGTTAACCCTCACCCGAGGATATTTTTTCCATTGATTTTCAGAGAGAGTAGAAGGGAGGGGGAGAGAGAGAGAGAAAAAAAAATCCAAAAACAACCATTGATGTGAGAGAGACACAGCAATTGGTTACTTCCTGCACATGCCCCAACCAGGGCCCAAGCCTGTAACTGAGGTATGTGCCCTCCTTTGATGGGAATCAAAACTAGGACCCTTCAGTCTGCAGGCCTACACTCTAACCACTAAGCCAAACCAGCTAGGGCTTCTTATATTTTAATAATGCTGCATGCGGTTAAAAATATGTAGGTATATTCTACCAAACAAGATAGCTGTGTTGCCTCAGCTTTGCTGTAAGGTTCACATGAGACACACTCACACAACTTTAGAAGTACAGGAGACACAACTGTATTCAAAGTCAGTAGAAGTTAACTCAGCAGACCCTAGTTTCTCAAACCTTATATATTCTAAAGCAGGGGCCCACGAAATCATTTGGTTGGGCCCTGCCAAGGCATTAGGGGTGAGTTAATTAAATGTTTGACCAAATGTAGAAGGCTAATTTTTAAGTTGATAATGTTTATGGCTCGTGAATGATGTTACAAATATCCAAATGGCCCTTGGCAGAAAAAAGGTTCCCCACCCCTGCTCTAAAGGAAGGCAGACCTTCAGAGGACTGGCCCTTCACTAGCTCCCAGGCCATAACCTCTGAGCCCCTGAGATATCCTGCCTGTAAGAGTGTTTTTGCAAGTTGGAGGTCCTGGGCCATCCTGCATCAGTTTGATCTCTGAGGGACTGAAGACTGAGTAACTCAGATCAGTCACAGAGTCCTACACGAATGATCTCCAATAAAAACTCTGGACACCTGGACCTTAGCACTCAGGTGAGGTTCCACGATTGATAGTACTTAACACATGTTGTCACATATTGCTGTTGGGAGAATTAAGTATGTCCCCATGCAATTCCTGTGGGAGGGGACACATTAAAAATTTTTTTAAAATTGATTTCAGAGATGAAGGGAGAAAAAGAGAGAAATAGAAACATCAATGATGAGAGAGAATCATTGATCGGCTGCTTCCTACACACCCCACACTGGGGATTGAGCCTGCAAACTGGGCAATGTACCCTGACCAGTAATTGAACCGTGAACTCCTGGTTCATAGGTTGACGCTCAACCACTGAGCCATGCTGGCCGGGCAGGAGGGGACACTTTTTAGTGCTGTTTGCTATTAGGGATTCTCAAGTCCTTCTGCCTCAAACCCCATTTTCTACATTCTAGCAGCCCCAGGCCTCAAGGCTTCTCAAATACAAAATTTCAATCAGGACTCTGCCCTGGCTCTGGGCCACTCTCTTCATTTGCATCTGCCCAGCTGGGAGATAGTTACTCTCCACTGACACTTTGGAGAGAATCCCAGTTGGCTTAACAGGATGCTCCTCTTGGCTCAGATGCATTTCAACAGTAGAAAGTTCCTTTAATCAAAAGGTCTTTCAGGGAAATCAAAATAAACAGAAACCAATTATTAAAACCCTCTCTACTGTCTACTTGTGGAGTAAGGAATGAAGTTTGGGCTAATGCTTTGACACAGGTATTACAAAAGGGTGAACTTCAGATGGGTGGGTTCTCGGGCCTCTGTAAGGTGTGGCTCAGGCTGGTATTTCTGGGTGGTTGGCTCCCCCAGATCCCATGATGTTGGCACCTTTTGTCCCTGGAGGAAAGGATGAGTCTTGGTCTGAAGGTTTGGAATTGGCTCCTAGATTTGGTTGGAAATCTACAATATAAACACCAGGCCAGACCCAGATGATTCTGGAATCACTTTCCTGACTACCAATCTGTGTAGGTTCTCATCTCTCCTCCAACTGCAATCCCTCCAAACACCAGCCTTCACGGGTGCAGGGAGAAGCCAGCCAGGCCCGATGGATCACCCACAGCTAAAGACAAGATCAGATAACATACATGAGTGAGATAATATGCAAATGAACAAATGAATCCATGTTCCAATATAACTTTATTTGGCCCATCCTGATCAAGTTTAATAATGCTTAATAGATTTTTTTTAAAAAAACTTGAGTAGTAATAACAATTCCTCTGTAATAACAATTATATATGAACTTCTGGCCAAGGTCAGCAGCTTGTTCCTTTACCAAAAATGTAAAGCCGCCCTCTGGGGACAAATGGCACATGAGGAGCAGTGTACATTTCCTTATCTTCAAAATAAAACAAACACAAAACCAAATACTTCATATTTACATATTTTCCATTTAAAAATCAGTGTGATTAATTGTTTTTAAATATAAGTTGCTAGTATGTTGCAGGTTTCAATGTACAAATCCTAGTTAGCAGATTAAAGGTGCTGTTAAGGTGAGGGTGAACACAGCCAAGACCAAGACGAGGGGACCTTCCGCTTGTCCAGACTTCCTGTGGGTATCTTTGGGCATGTTGGGGGTGGGGGAGGGGTGGAGCTGGACACCAGGGATGGAAATGCTTCTGCAGAGGGCCTGCTGTGCCCACACACCATCACCCCAGGCTCCGGGTACGAGGGCACCTCTGGGTTTGCTAGTTCCAAACTCATCTTGACCTGAACTAGGAGGTGACTTGAAATCCCTTCCTTTGGGGTCTCCATGCCTCTGCCTGACCCCTGAGTGTCCTCACGGTTGACACCCCCCCTTTCACACATTGCTACCTCCCTGGATTCCTTGTCCCCAGGCCACTTGCTCTCCAATGCACTTCTTCAGGGCCTGCTCTTTGCTGGGGCTAATGGATGATCAGAAACAAGGGCAGAATGAGTGAAGCCTGATAAGGATGCATTAATCCGAAATCTCTCCTAACATTTGCTCTATGGTGAGCCCCTCATTGGGGGTGGGGGTGGGGGCCCTTGGGGGGATTCATGGACTTGCTATCTTCACACTCACCCATGTGACAGCCCTTGGGAATGAGGGCTGTGTCTGTGTCTGTGTGTGTGTCAGGAAAGCGCATGAGGAGTTCTGGAAGAGGTGCGTGCCCAGGCCTGGGAGGGTGAATTCTGTTACCCACAGCCCCCAACCCGATCTGATCTAAACAAGGATTTCAGATCATTCCGGAGCCAGGCAAAGACAGGGCCTGGCAAAGGAGAAGTGATGTATTTGAGGCACCAGAATCATATGCTTGATTAGGGAAAAGAAACTGGCTCAGTTTCCCATTCCGGAACACGAGACACATAGCCCGGAAGAAAAGAACATGGTGATGGACAGGGAAGGTGCATCTTGGACTAACTTTTCTGACTGAAAAGCCAGCGGGACCCCAGCCGAGGAAGACATTGTATAGTGGACAGACACTGGCCTGGGGCCGGGAGGCGGGGACTCGGGGCTTGCCCGGACCCTGGCTGGACGCTGCTTCTCTGGTTCTCACTGTCTTTCCGTGTCTGTCCGTTGAGGCTCTCTGGGCCAGTGGGTGTCTACACCAGCCTGCAAGATTCCGCGGCCTCTCCCCACCCGCGGGACCTGCGGGCTGCTTCCTAAGACTTGCTTCTTCCACTTACAAGACGCAAGGGCCTCCTCTTCGCTGGGAAGGTGATCAACCCCCAAACTAGGCTCCTGTTGAAACCCGCTCCCAGAGGTTAAAGGCTAGTTATTAAGGCAGTTTAAGAAATGGACATTCCTCTCGCTCCTCGGATCCTTCCTGTGTCCTGCTAACCCCCAGGTGGCGGAGGGGCCCGCGTTCCCGGGTGGCCTCCCGCGGGGGTGCAGGGGCCTGCAGCGCCCCCCTCCGGCCTCACCAGCGTTCTTTGGAGAAGGTGTCTGTCTGCACGAGATCCGCGGGGCACTCGGGGATGCGCGTGCCGTTGAGGTCGCCCAGCGTGTTGTCCGGCAGGTCCTCGGGCTTGGTGCAGAGTCTCAGGGCGCGCGAGATGAACACGTCCAGGTCGAACTGGGGGCTGGCGCCGCCGTCCACGGGGGCAGGGCGGCCGGGCGGGGAGGCGGACAGGCGGCGCTCGGGCCCCTGGCGGGGCGGGCTGGCGGGCTCCTGGCCGCCCTGCGTGCTCTGGACCCACTGCGCGATCTCCAGGAAGAGGCTGGCCGGCTCGTCCTCGCGGCGCGCCCCGGCGTCCAGGGCCCCGGCGTCCGCGGCCCCGGCGGTGGAGGGGGGCGCGCCGGCCGCCTGCTTCCAGTGCGACAGGTCCAGGATGAGCTTGGGCTCGGAGTAGTGGTGCGGCTTGTTGTCGCGCCACAGCAGCTTGTCCAGGTAGGACGGCGACCCCACCTTGTAGTCGCAGGAGCGCTCCATGGACGAGTGCGACTGCTCCAGGAAGCGCTCGGAGCTGCTCTGCGAGTCCTTGCGCGGGTCCACCTGCACGTCCTCCGCCGGCGCCGAGCCCGCGCGCGGGTCCCGCTGCACCTCGCTCGCGTCCGGGCACCGGTCCGGCCGCCACTCCAGGTCGGATGACAGGCTCACGGGGTACCTGCAAGGGTGCAGACGGACCGGGGATTGGGTCCCCAGCCCAGCCCTCCGGCTCCGGTCCCCACCGCGCCGCAAGCGGGGAGGGTGATGGGACAAGGCAATGGCGAGGCTTCAGGGCTCGGGGTGAGGGGCTGTTCTCTTACCCCTGGTATTCTTGGTATCCATTCACTACCCTGCACGTATTTGCTGAGCACCGACTCTGTACCGGGCCCTGCTCTAGGCGTTACCAGACACAGCCGCGAACAAAACAACACAATCCTTGTCCTCACGAACTAACTTTCCAGTGTCTAAATTCTGGGGGGGAGGGAAATTTGGGGGGGGGGGAGGCTGCAGGGACCACAGTCAAGGGCAGGCCACGCACAGGGGGGCAACAGAGGAGAGTCTGCCTTAATCTCCACTTGCTAGCAACGCTTGATACCAACCATCCACGTGGACAACCCAATAACCTGTCCAAACTAGCGATGGGGCATGGCCTTCCCTTGCTGCCTCCCTCATCTGAAACCCATCCACTGTCACATGACTGAAAAGGAGGAATCGCTCCTCTGTCACTTATGTAGCTGCTGTCACCCCCCACCCCCCTCGCTGCCAAGCCCTGGACTTTGTTACTAGATTGAGCAGCCATCCGCTGTCGCTCCCAGGAATGCAGACGGCGATCTAAGACCACCAGACCAGGAAGGGACCTAGGAGGTCACTAGATGCCTTACCGACATGGAGATTGCTTAAAGTACCTGTTTTTAAAAGCGTTTTCCTTAAAAAAGAACTTCCATCCAACTCTGATTCGTTGGTAGTGACGCCAGGGCCCACTGCTGAGAAGGACTCAGATCCCCCGCCCAGTTTAGCAGGAGAGAGTCCTGTGATGCTTAGCAGTGTGTGACAGGGACGCAGATTGGGGAGAACCCCAGGTGGGCCAAATACCAGCTGTGTGACGCGATGCCATCTCTACCCTCTCTGCGCTGTAGCTTCCTCACGTGCCAACGGGCAATGCCAGGAACGGTGCCCGCCTCATGGCACTCTGCAGAGGTGCAAAGGAGGTGGACACGGGGCCGTGCTGTGCGGCGGTAAATTCCACACTGTTCTCTGGCCTTGTGTGGCTGCAGTTTGCTTTTCCAGGGCAAGTTCCCAGCCCGCCAGAAGGCAGCTCCTGCAGGGGACCTCATTCAATGCTAACGGAACACTGCACTGAGCCTGGTACATGGGGTGGGGTGGGGTGGGGGGGGAAGCTGGTGGTGCCAAAGGAAGGGCCCTGGCCCACAGGTAAGACAGGCTGCTCCTATACTGAGCGCCAGGGAATGGGAGAGGGAAGGGCCGGCAGGTAAGTTGGGGAAGGCGCCCCAGGGCTATACAGCGTGGGAGACAGAGGGAAAGGTCACACAGAATCAGAGGCAAATAGCAATGGGAGGACTGGAAGGTGGGCTCTGGACTCCAGGGCTGGACACGTCTGGAACCACACCTGTCCCAGGTGGAGAGCTGGCTCTGGCTGGCGGCCATCAGCAGGATGTCGTCAATCTCATCCTCAATGCGGAAGGGGTGCTGGGAGGTGGGCTCGTCCTCGGGGCATGAGTACGGGCTCATGTAGGGGTGCTGCAGCCCCATCTCGGCTGTGAGGCGATCCATGGGGTTAAAGGTCAGGATCTTCTCCAGAAAGTCGATGGCTGTGGAGCAGAGCCGGACAGGAAGGTCATTGGTTGCCGCTGCCACCCTGAGAAGGAGGCCCCGCAGTGTGGCAACGATCCTGTGTACTTTTCCGTTTGTAAAAAGGTGTTTAGTCATTTTCTTTCTCATGATCCTCACCACAATCCAGCGACAAATTCGGGGCTGATGCTGCTTTTTGACCCACAAATCTAAGTACGAGAGGCCCCGAGGGGGAAAGGGACATGCTCAAGGTCATGGCTGGTGACAGGAGGTCCAGGGCTAGAACTCTGCCTTAGGCTGGTTTCTCCAGAGACAAGGATTGAGGTGTAAGTCGTGACCTGACGGTGATCCCCAAAGTGCACTGGGAGGGGCGGGGGAAAGAAGCCAGTAGAGCAGTGGTTCTCAACCTTCCTAATGCCGCAACCCTTTAATACAGTTCCTCATGTTGTGACCCAACCATAAAATTATTTTCGTTGCTACTCCATAACTGTAATTTTGCTACTGTTATGAATTGTAATGTAATTATATGTGTTTTCCGATGGTCTTAGGCGGCCCCTGTGAAAGGGTCGTTCGACCCCCAAAGGGGTCGTGACCCACAGGTTGAGAACCTCTGCTTTAGTGGCTGGACCAAGGGGAGGTCCTGGCATTTGGAACCTGGGATGGGGAGGGACACGCGGAAGCCTTGAGCAGTCAGTAGTCATTTGCCAACTGGCAGGACAGTATGTTAGGGTCTCAGGGCGTTCTGGGTGTGCACTGCTGGACATCGGCTCTGGGCACAGGCACTGACGCTGTTTCCTAAGTAGGTAGGGGTCCCCATTGCCCCGTGAGCTCGGTGCTGCATTATCTGGGCAAGGTCAAGCTTTGGGGGGTGGGGGGGTGGGCATTACTTCTAAGGACTGGAGGCCCCGCTGGAATCCTGACCTGGCTAATGATGGGACAGCCCAGGTGCAGAGGGAGGAGGCAGCTGAGCTAAAGGCCCAGGCTGCTGTCCCCTTGGAGGGGCTCCCGTGGGGCCTCAGCCGCACCGATACCCTGCCCCTCCGGCAGCCCTGGAGCTCCTTGCAGGGAGATTCATCAATGATTCAGGAAATGGAGGGTCATTGGCCTCTCAGGGGAGCTCAGTGCTGCTCTGTTACCTTAGACACAGACCAGTGAAACAGCAGCCACTCTGGTTACCCCCAAATGCTCTGGGGCCCAGGGGCTGCTTCTGGGCCAGGGCTGCAGACCTGAAAGAGGATTGACCTTCCAGGTGCCCAGGACTGGGAAGGGTCGGGCACTGCCACTGGGCTCCAGGCTGGGCAAGCCTTCCCCTCTTTGGGCCTCTGACCCTCCCTCAGCCCCACCCTATGACACTGGACCTTTTGACACGGAAATGCAGAGTTAAAGCTTTAAGGCATCATCACCATTGTCATCATTACTAAGAAAGACCCCGCGAACCCTGAAGTCGGACAGTGCCTACCTGAAGGCCACTCCACTGACTAGTAAGCGTCTCCTCTTTCCTCTCCATGTCCTCTAACCAGTACCCAGACACTCCTGGGAAGCCCTAATATTAAAAAACCCTTTCTCTGTCCAACCTACATCTGTCCCTTTACCCTCCACCCCTGAGCATAGCTCCGCCCTCTGTGGTCCCCCCACCTCAGCTGTTCTCTCTTCTCCACACCTGCCCCTCTCACGCTTCAAGGTGGCAGTCATGCCCCTGTAAGTCCCTCTCCACCTGCCTCACACTGGCCCGTCTCCCAGTTGTCTCTGTGGTTAGATGTGGCTATGACGGAGGCCGTGGAATGGGGGTCGAAGTGATGTGTGTACCCCATTTCCAGGTCTGAGCCATGAAAACCTCCTGCAAAAGTCTCTGCAGAACAAGACAGAAGGACCTTGGCCCCTGGACAGCTGTAGAGCAGGTCCACCATGTTGGCCTTGGATTGCCTGGTTTTGGATTATTATATAGGAGAGAAATAAACTTTTTTTGTGTTACTCCTCACCCGTGGATATTTTTTCTGTTGATTTTTTAGAGAGCGAGTGGAAGAGAGAGAGAGTGAGAAACATCAACTTGAGAGAGGCACATTGATTGGTTGCCTCCTGCACATGCCCTGACCAGGGCTAAGAGATGAACCTGCAACACAGGTACCTGCCCTTGACTGGGAATCAATCCCACGACCCTTCAGTCCATGGACGGATGCTCTGACCACTTAGCAACACTGACCAGGGTGAGAAATAAACTTAATTTCTTTTTTCTCATGTAAGAATTAAATCTTATTTGAGCCTTAAGTATTTTGGTCTCTCTCACAATCGGCTGTAGAAGCTTCCTAAGGAAGCCTCTGGCAGGTATAAGGCCCAATGATAATGTAACATCTAAGATGACAGAGCAACCTTCCTATGCCCAGGACCTTACAGATCCTATTTACTTATCCGTCATAACGACCGTATGTGATATGTAATTATGCCCATTTTATAGTCAAGGAATCTGAGATGCAGAGAAGTTAAGAAACTTGTCCAAGGCCAAACAGCGAGGCACTCACTGGTAGAACTAGGAATTGAGCCTGGCTTTGGCTCTCAAGCTGATAAATCCCATGTTCTCTGCACCACACCATACCTTCCAAGGAGGAAAAAATAAAGGGGGTGAAGGAGGAGAAGGAGGAAGCAAGTGAGAAAGACAAGAAAGAAAAGGAGGCAAATCAGGGGTGGAATATGGAGGGCCCCTAATGACTGCCTTGAGGTTGCCTGCTGGTCACATTCCAGGGGCTCATCATCTGGAAGTAGCCCCGGCAAATGCTGGCTGCCAGGGGGCCTCACTTCTATGCTAAGGACTATGCTTGGTCCTTCTGGAAGGATGCTACCTGGCCCCGCCCCCAAGGGGACGCAGAGTGCAGCCTGCAGATGCGGGCCTGGCTGTGGGCGCAGGTACCTTCACTGTTCACTTCAGGGAGCAGCTTGCGCAGGGGCCTCTTCACCTCCCAGGTGCTGTTGACAAAGGAAGGCATCACCTTGAGCAGCTCGTCCTTGTCCTCCTCCCGGATCACAGGGATGGTGTCCAGTATGAGCTGCATCTGCTCCAGCTCGTGAGCCCCTGGGGAGGCAAATGCCAGGTGGGTAAGTGTGCTGCCCAAGTGACTGGTGTGTGGTAGCCCCACAGCAGTTCCAGGAGGCCTGGGAGGGGCCACACAGGGCAGTGGGGACAGCCCTGGCCCTGGCTCTGGTCTCCTTCTGCCGCTAACTTGCTCGGTGACTGTGAGCAGATGGCTTGCCGTCTCTGGGTCTGGCTTTGTCAAATGCCTCTGCCTCTGGGATGAACAGTCTGATACACACTGGCAGCCAGCACCAAAGTGACAGGAACAGCCTGGCCCGAGGCTTTCCAAGGGCCCCCTCCCATAGGCCCCTCTGCATGTTCTTTGCCAGGCTGGAGAAGCAAGTGATTTCAAGGCCGGGAATGAGCCTGACCCTTTGGTTTCCAATGAGGAGGATTCCGATGAGGAGAGGAAATATCAGGAATAACAAATTGGGTTTGGAATGTGTCCTGAGCACACTGCCTCTGTGCTCCGTTGGGCAGAGGGAGGAAGACAGGCTATGCCCAGGGCGTGGATCAGGATGGAGGTAGGCATTCATTCATCCGACAAGTAATTATTTATTGAGCACCTTCTCCCTGCCAGGCATCATGCTGGATGCTGGGAATGAATACCTCTCTCATCTGTAAACGCGTCAGTCTTTATGCGTCTCAGAAACTCAACGCACCTTCTACCCCCAGACAACACTGACCCTGTGTCTGAGCTCTGGCACTGCTGGGATGGTCAGTCTGCCTCCTTGCTATCCCCCTCTGACCTCCAGGCCACTCTTACCTTCATTCCTCCCGTCTCCCCTCTTTGCATGAGTAGCCTTTCCACTTCCTCTACCCGACTGAATCCTCACCAAGCCTCGCTTTCCTCAAAGAGCCCCCTGACTCATCCAGCTGCACAGAGGCCCTCCCCTTACCCCCGGTTCCCATGGATCCCAGTCTGCCAGCAGCTGGTGGCCCAGGATGGGCTCTTCTGTGTGTCCCCACATGCCCCTGTGGCACTAAGTATATGCGAATGCTGTGAATGCCAGCCCAGAAAGGGCCTCCAGCATCAGGGTCTGCTCTCAAGGAGTCCCCGTGGCCTCTCCCTCAGTGGGCTCATGGAGGGTCAGTTCAGGGACTCTGGGAGCTCCTTGTGGGGACCCCTCTCCAAATGAGCACTCCAGACCGACTGCTCAGAATGGCAGGGAGAGCGAAGGAAGGGGCTGGAAACATAGGGTGGGTGTTTTCAACGGTCAACCTCAAGGTATTGGAATACAAGTGGTTACTTGATTGTGAAAGTTCTTTCCTAAAAGATTACTTTTAGTCTCTGTAGCATTTTGCCTGAAGTGACAGTAAGGTGCCTCCAAGCAGTGCCATAAAAGCCACAGAGGTTACTTCCAAGGGAAAGTCTGGCATGTTTTGTGCACCCAGTTCTCCCTTGGTCTAGAACAGTGGTCAGCAAACCGTGGCTCGCGAGCCACATGCGGCTCTTTGGACCCTTGAGTGTGGCTCTTCCACAAAATACCATGTGCGGGCGCGCATGTACAGTGCGAAGTTGACTTAAAACTTATTAAGTTAATTTTAGTGAACGTTGTGGAGTGAAAGAAGATGTAGTGTCGAGGATTGAGAAAGGTATGTTGAAATGGTTTGGACATATAGAGAGGATGAACGAAAGGAGATAGACGAAACAAGTATACAAGACGAGTGTGGATGGGAGAGTTGAAAGGGGTCGACCTCAGCGAACGTACCTCAATCAGATTGAGGACGTTTTTAGCAAAGGCCAGCTTAGGAGTACCCTAATTAAGTTAATAACAATGTACCTACCTATATAGTTTAAGTTTAAAAAATTTGGCTCTCAAAAGAAATTTCAGTCGTTGTACTGTTGATATTTGGCTCTGTTGACTAATGAGTTTGCCGACCACTGGTCTAGAACGACACCAGAGGAGAAGGAAGGCGAGGGGTTAGCAGCTTACCTGCAAAGAGCATTCTCCCTGTGAGCATCTCCGCCAGGATGCAGCCGGCCGCCCACATGTCGATGGCTTTGGTGTAGTTGTTAGGGGAGAGGAGCAGGCGTGGTGAGCGGTACCACTTCGTGACCAAGCCTTCTGACAGATAACCCTGCAAGACAAAATCCCGCTCCATCCGTCCGCCACGCAGATGCCCTCCCTCCCACGCCTCTTCTCTTTTCTCTTCACCTGGAGACAGGACCCCTTTCAAGATTCCTTCACCCTTGGTCCTTTCCTGTTGGTCTGGGAGGAGCATTACAGAACAGAAGTCTGACTGTAGGGGTTCAGACTAGTTTGTGGGGTTCAAAGGCTTGGGGGGGGGGCATCTCAGGAGGCCCTGGCATTCTCCTATGTAGAAAGGGATTCAGGATATTAATATTTTAGAAGAAATGATATCCTGCCCCAGCTTGATGCAAGTATGCAAAACAAATCTGTCCTCGTCTAGTAAGAAGATGGATAAGTAAGAGCCATACTCCAGTTCATTATGGCCATCAACAGAATAATGATGAGACACTGGAATTTCGTTTATCCAGTGGCTGGTTCTCACACACAGCCATACATTTGAAATCAAGCCAGTTGCTTTGGTGTTAATGGTTAGAAGTAATGCAGCTACAACGCTAGAGCCAAGCCCCTGATGTGAATGGCTAAGGCTAGCTTCATAATAGATACAGGCCAAGGGCATATGACAGCAGACCTAATGGCCAAGTGGACACAGCTTTTGCTCTGAGGATTCTGGGAGTTCTACACAGTGTCTTTGGCGGGATAGATGTGCTAGCTGATTTCAGCCATTGCTCAATGATTTCTGGGCTGGGCTTGAATCCCTCCCCACAAGATACAGTGATGGCCTAGGTGTTTTAGCACAGAAAAGAAAACATAGCCAGGCAATTTGGAAGTTGTTCTCTATATGATTCAGAAAGCTGGCCCAACAGTGAAACCCGGGAAATGTCCATTTGGATCAACTGAACCATCTCTCTACAGTGAGAAAATAGACCCTTTTGGGATTCAAGGGGAGACAATTCCGATCGAGGGGCTCTAATGTGAGGTTCTAGGGGTGGTCTTGGTACTTGCTGTAATCCCCCGTTTGGCATCTGAATTTGCCTTTTTACTGATGTAGAAAGTATATCACAGACCCACGTTAAAATATATGAAAAGTTCAGAAGCCCAAGTACCCAGGAGCTTTTTATCAGTTAATCTGACATCTTTTCATTTGTTGAGCAAAGATTTATTGTTTAAAGCTTCTGAGAGCCCTGAATTAGGACAGCAGTTTTCTCTCCTCTGTGGCGCAACTTTTTTTCAGGGTAGGGCCTCAAACTGGTGGAACAAGGAGGAAAAGAGACACCCCCTCCCCCAGCGGGAAATGACTCCAGCAAAGCCATTCTCTGGCCTCAAAGCTCTCACCAACATGAACTCCTTACAGCTTTTGAACGTGTCCCTCTTTCTCTCTCCTTTGGGCATCTACACATGTGCATCCCATGGACAGAGGTCCTCACACCTGCTGCCTACCTGGCTGACACACACTCAGGCCGGCTTCCTCTCAGGAGCTTCCCAATTCGCTGGGATGAGATTGGATGCCCATCCGGGGGTCCATGGCTCCTGTTTGCTACTGTTTCTTTACTTCTGTGAAGTTGCCACTCTCCAGTCCCCTAGATTCTACGCCCCTCACAGGAAGCATCTGGTACAGGTTCACAGTCATGTCCAAATTGCCTAGTCCCAAGTCTGCCTCTTAGGACATGTTCAATAAACACTGTTGAATGAGTTGAATGAATGAATAAATTAATGAATAAACAAGGAATGTCTCCTGTGGTCTAAACCCCCTTCAGAATGAGGCAGCAGGGACCACTGACCCTCTTCTTTGACATACTTGACTTTCCAGAGAGTTCCAGTTGCCACTTTCAAAGGTGGGTGGGAAATTCACAGCAGTTGACAGCCATTGATACCTTGCCTTGTTCCAAAAAGGATTGGCAAATGGAAGTCATTTTTAAAAGGCCAGGCGTGTTGAGGAATAATTTACACACAATAAAATTTGCCCCCTTTCGGGTACATACAGTTCCATGAGCCTTGACAAAAGCATAGACTTGCATAACCACCATCACCATCAAGGTAATACACCAATTCCGTCTCCTCCAACAATTCTGTGTCCCCTTCTTGTCACTCGTTTTGCCCTGCTCAGAATGTCTTGTAAATGAAATCACAGCAGGAAGCTTTTGGAATCTAATTGCTTCTCTTAGCACAATGCGTGTAGACTCACCCATGTTATATGTACAGTAGAGTGTTAGGGGCTGAAGTCTGATCCTAAAAATGACAGAGACAAGCCAAGCTGTCTGCGGAAGGAAGGCCACTTCTGGGTGGGCAGGCTATACATCAAGGCTGTCTGATTTCATCTTCCAGTCGGAGTTGGAGGCTGAGACTGTCAGAGGAAGACTAAAGCAGGGATCACCCAGAGGGGAGGGGACTTAAGGAAAGTCTCCCTTGATATGTAAATAAACAGTCTTTTAAGGAATGGAATTCCCTATAATTAACATAATCACACCTGCAGATCTGCAGCTTTGGGGCTGAGAAGTGGGAGCTGGGGGGGGGAGGGGGACCGGGGGGTTGGCGGGGCCGGGTTTCCTTTGGAAACACCTGTTCTGAAAGTGAAAGAAAGATGTTCTTTGGGGCAAGACTGCCCCTGGGTCAGAATTATGGGCCGGACCTTGACAGTAGTTGAGGAAGTTAACTCCTGTCTTTCTTACCTTTGAATGAAAACCAAGAACCTGCTGGATTTCTGTTAACTACTACCAGCTACTTCCCCCTATGGCTACTTGTCCCTCAGGCCCCTTGTGAAAATAAAGAGGGTTTACTGATGTGTTTCAGAAGCCAGGGGACAGAGGGGAATCTGGGAAGGTGCAGTGCCTTCTGCCTGACCCTGGGGAGAGGGGAGGGGACCAAAGAGTGGCTCCCTTCCTGGGTGAGGAGTCTGAGCAGGGAGGCGCTGGGGTCCACAACATGCTACCAGTGACCTAAATTCAAGAGAGGAGTTTCAGTTGAGTAGATAGGGTGAAAGTCAGAATTTTCTAGAATTAAAAAGAAAAATATTTTTAAAATACCCAGGAATAGAGACTCAATTTTTTAAAAAAATATATTTTTATTGAGAGGAAGGGATGGGTAGAGAGAAATAGAAACAATGATGAACGAGAATCATTGATCGGCTGCCTCCTGTACACCCCCATTGGGATCAAGCCTGCAACCCACGGAGGCACAGAGAGATAAGAACCTATCCCAGTTGGGCATGTGCCCTGACCGGGAATCAAACCGTGATCTCCTGGTTCACATGTCGACGCTCAATCACTGACACACACTGGCTGGGTGAGGCTCAATTTTACCAGAAGGGCTCAGACATCAGTAAGTATATTGGCTCCCAGAAATCCCTAGACGGCCTTCCTGCTGAGCCTGCGGGAGGATAGTTTCAGCTCCATTTGGACGTGGAGGGCCCTGTCTTCAGTGAGCAGACCTGGTCTGCAGGGGGCTCCCCCAGGGCAGGCTGGGGGGACAGCAGGCCCACGCAGGACACACTGTCCTGTGAGCTCTAAGACATCACGCTCTGAGAAGACACGAAGCCAACACTGCAATTCTCCACGGCCCCTCTCAGCAGACTAGAGGGAGACTGGAATTGCCCTGTCCCTTCCTTCTGTGCGCCACCCCTCCCCCCTCCCCCATCCCTCGGTGCTCCTGGGACCAGCTGGTGCTCCTGGGGAGAAGCTGGTGCTCCTGGGGAGAAGCTGGCTCTTCAGGAGGCGCCCCTGGGAGGCAGTCGGACAGGGTTTCCTGTCTAGACCCTGTCAGGAGCCTTCGGGGTTTCTTCAGCTATTGCTCCAGCCCCGTTAGCTGTTCTCTTAGGTTCCTGTACAGTCAATGGGAGGCTTTGACGTTGAAAGCTTCAAAGGTGTGTGAAATAATAATCTAGCAGCAGCTGGCCTGAGTGAGGTAATTAGGGACCCACAACAGATCCAGACGGAAGGTGTCAGTGAAGCTCTGAGCATTCCTTTTACAGAAGAAGCAGGGGACTCCGTCCCAGATGCCTGTAGGAAATTCAGGCCAGCCTCGCTCAAACTCACCCTGGAAGGTGGGCACCCCTCTGCTGCCCCGACCAGCCAGCCCTGGTGAGTCCAGTTCTGAGGGGCTTGCCCTCTCGATGCCTCCACTGCCTGGAGCCTGACCTCATGGGTCTGGGATTGCAAGCCTCGGACGTCACCCATTAATGATAATGTACCTCCTGGCTTCTCACAGCCATGGGGGGAATTTAAGTGGGGACAGGGGCTTAGAGTCAGTGGTCCCCAAAGACCCCCTGCATCAGAATCAGGGAAACTGCTTGTGAGATGTGCAAACTGCCCAAAGCTACCGATATACATATTTTTTTTCTGTTAATCCTCACCCAAGGATATTTTTCCATTGATTTTTATAAAGCATGGAAGGGAGAGGGAGAGACACAGAGAAACATCAACGTGAAAGAGACATATCCATTGATTGCCTCCCACATGCACCCTGACCAGGGCTAGGAATCGAGCCTGCAACCGGTGCTCTTGACCGGAATCGAACCCAGGACCCCTCAGTCTGTGGGCTGACCATCCACTGAGCAAAACTGGCTCGGGCACCGAGGTACATCTTCAATGAGCCCCCTCCCAGTTTGAGAACCCCAGGAAGAACAAAGGGGGATGAAGGGTTGCAGAGGGAGGAAGGAGGGACGTTGGGCAGGATGGGCGTTTCTGTGCAGGCTGTGGTAGGGCCCCTGCCCAGTCTTACAGTGGGAGGAGCGTTCATGCAGCCAGGCGGTTGCAGGCTCTGCACTCCCAGCCTGGAGAGGCTTGCCAGCGGGACTGCTAGCAAAGATGCTGCTCTCTGGAAAGCAGGGGATTCAGGGGCTCAGGGATGCCCCTGGTACCCTGCTTCTTTGGAAGGGGCTAGGAATGCATATACGCACCCCTGTCTGATCTAGAGAAACTAGGTCAAGTGAAAAAGAAATCGGGCTGTGGAGAAGTCATCCTTGCAGCATCGGGGTGAGTGGGGCTGCTGCATGGGTGCTGGGATTCTTCTGCAGCCAAAGGCCTGTCACACAAAGTGGTGAAGACTGGACAC